CAAACCTGAAGAAACTACAGGCGAAAGGCTCCTAATAAATCACAGTAATTCCAGTGTGCGGTGGTTCATTTAGATTTTTAACTAGATTCCCTGCAACCTACCAGCTCCTGACTGTTGTTGGCAGTGCATGGGGAGTTTAGTTTACTGGTTATAGCACAATATAGCAACCTTTAAGTACATGTAACCTGAGTTTTATTAGACATCTGTTGGTGCTCACTGTGAAACTGATTCTCTTTCTGTTTCACTGCCAGATTTCACCAAAATTCACAAAGCTGTGAAACCAAACCACCAGAAAACCTCCTGAACATGTGGAGAAATGATTGTTGCATGACCCATTTCTCCGGTCTCACTGGGGAGGTTTGTGAGAATTTAAATAGTCTCGGAGTATGAAAATATAAACAGTGTTATCATCATCAGTAATTCATCTGAACCTTCCAGCGCGTCGAGCTGCTACTTCAAAGCCGCAACATCCTGCTGCAGTAATGATCAATTAAAGCGGAACTGTACCAGCGTGGCAGCGATGCTCGAGACCGAAATGCAGATTGGTGCGTTTAAATGCAGGTCAGAGTGAGATTGCATTCAGGAAAGAGAAAAGTAGGGCAGCGGAGAGAAAAAGAAGACTGCAGTTTGGTCTGAGAGAGACGTGTTCTGGAGTTTTTCTAGTGTTGGAATAAAGATAGTTTAGATAATAGATAGTGTCTTATTTTGTATTAATTTTAAGTCATGTTAGCAGTATAGCTTTATGTTGGTCCAGACTGAAATATCTCAACAGCTACTGGATGAAATGTTGTACAGAGATTAATGTTCCCCAGAGGATGAGGCCTAATTACATTGATAATATCCCGCCTCCATAAAGTTTTAAATAAAGAGTTACAGTTTGAGGTTTGAGTAAAATATCTTTACAACTAATTGTATTAACTTTGGTGAACCCCTTAACTTATCTTCTGTACTTCCATAAACATTTCCATTTGTCAAAGGAAAACCTGCATGGAAAATATTACTTAAGTACACAAGTAGCCGAGGCTATTATGAGCAAAAAGAAAACACTGAAAAGAACTTCCTGTGAGTGTTTTACTATTATTTTGATTTATTTAATGTTTTAGGCCTAGTTGGTTCAGTTGAGGTTGAGCTGATTTGAACTATTTAACATTCTGTTGTGTAGTTAAATAAAAATAACATAATGCACTGTTATCATGTTCTTTAAGTTCATGTTTTGTACATAAAAACTGCAAAGTAACTGAAGACTATGAGATAAATGTAGAGGAGTATAAAACAGCATAAAATAGAAATACAGTAGTAAGCAGTTTTTAAAAGGAAGAAAAAGAAGAAAACAAACTTTTTAAAAGTTTCTGAATTAAAAAAATCTCACTCCAACCCTGCAAAGTATGGAATCACTTTATTAAATTCATATCAGTATAATAACTATGATAGGATTGAGACTAATCGTCCAAACAAACAGTAGTATGGTCATTCATGGATCGAAGAACAGGAGTAATGACGGATGGTAACAACAACAAGCTTCACATGTTCTCGGATTAACTCGCTTATACAAACACAAAATACATTAAAACCTTTTTTTTTTGTCCCACTATAGTGATTTAATGAATGATTATGATGAATGCTATACAGTATAAATATGACGTCAGACATTTCCAATGACAGGTCGAAACCAATTTAACAGCTGAAGCCATTCGTTAGAAAAAGGTGGACGATGATCTGAATATTCAGTACATCAACATCGGTTGGATTTAATACCTCTAAGGCTCTCTCGTGTGTTTTTATGCCTTTTTTGGGGGCTTTCTTATTGAGGCAAAGCAAACATTAGAGGAAAAATGTTTTTAAAAAGGTATAAATCTCCCCTTTTTTATCAAATATCATCAATATCTGAAGTGTTTTAATTAGTTATTATCGGTGCATCCGTTATATTCAACCACTAAAGCAGGGGTGTGAACACTAAGGCGTGACTGTGATTACATTAATACCCCCTCACGTCAACCAAACTACATGAAGACTTTGTGGTTGCAATGCATTCTGGTCTATTGAGGCCACTTTAAGTAGAAAAAAATGATCTTCTAACGATTGATTTTTTTTATTTTGTGCGACTGCTCGAAGTCGATGTAAAATGACGGCTTTAGAAAGAAGCCCTCGCTGTTTAGAGCCGCACCAACGGGTGACATTTACATCGAAATGAATCCATCGTTGTGTCACATTACAATCGTGTTCAAACGTTTAAGAATTGTTTTTTTTTTGTCCCTTACGACAGAGTGTTTAGGCCAGACTAAGACTTTTTTTGTCGGGGAAATTACAAGAAAAAAGTCGTAACATTACGAGAATAAAGTCAAAATATTACGAGAATAAAGTCATAATATTACGAGAATAAAGTAGTATTTTTATGAGAACTCTTCCCGCTGCGTTAAAATGAGG